AAACTCATTTATGCCCATGGGCACTTGGCTGGGAAAGGCCATTTCCAGAGCAAAGGAAGGAGCTGGAATCTTCCCAGTTCTGGTTTGGGATCCCAATCTCACCCTTTTTATTGTTTTCCCCCTGCAGAAGCCACAGAGGGCGAAGCCTCCTGCTACAATGTGAACGAGATGGGGAAGTACTTCGGGTACTGCAGGCAGGAGCAGGGCACTTACCTGCCCTGCAAGAGAAAGTAAGCACTGGGCTGTGGGATGGGCTGGGATTTGGGAAGAGAGGCCATTCCTACTCTGACCAGGAGACAGAAGCCAGGAACACCCTATTTTAGTGGCACAGCCCTCTGTTCCGTCTTGTTCTGTCTCAAAACTGTGGGAAATAATTTCTAAGAAAAGTGGATTTAAATAATGAGGTGTGAGAGCAAAGGTGTGCACATTACATAATATAATATAATGTAATATAATGTAATATAATGTAATATAATGCAATATAATGTAATATAATGTAATATTATGTTATATAATGTGATATAATGTAATATAATGCAATATAAGGTAATATAAGGTAATATAATGCAATATTATGTTATATTATGTAATATAATGTTATATTGTTTTACATCGTGTTACATCATGTTACATTATATTACATTACATTATATTATATTATATTATATTATATTATATTATATTATATTATATGGTATTGTATTGTATTATATGGTATTGTATTGTATTACATTACATTACATTACATTACATTACATTATATATTATTATATTATATATTATTATATATTATAATATTGTATTATAATCATCTGTGAAGGGCTGCTTGGGAGGAGAGTGTGAGGGTGTGCAGGGAACTCCAGGGATTTTGGGATGGGGAATTTGAGCCTCAGAAGTGAAGGAATATCAGTTAAACACTAATTTCTGTGAATGAATTTGTGTTCCCTGCTAAGCTCAGCAGGATTTAAGAACCTGCCACCTGCTCAAGCCCAGCTGCCCCACCAGCACTCCCTGCTGCAGCATTTCCTTGGAATTCAGGCTGCAGGAGAGCCCAGCTCAGGGGGTTTGCTGGGCCTTGTCCTTGGGGTAACAGCTCCTGCTGTCCTTGCAGAGACAAACTGTGCGGGAAGCTGTTCTGCTCCGGAGGCAGGGAGATGCCCCGGGACGGGAGCCTGCTGTCCTTCAGGGCCTGCAAAGGCAGCTTCTCCCGGGGTGGGGGCGACGACCCAGGGATGATCCTGGATGGAACCAAGTGTGGCAATGGGATGGTGAGTGGAGAATCACCTCTTCCTCTGTTCTTCCCCCTCTTTCAGGCTTGTTGATATAATTCTGTCCTGTACAGGGAAGGTTTTAAACAGGAAAGACTGAGTGGACCCCAAAGCTCTGCTGATCTGTTTTCCCAACTTTTATCCCAACCCAGCAGCAAAGCAAACAGGAATTGGCAGCATTCCCATTTCCTCAGGCTTGGCTGCTGCCTCATTCCCTGTACTGACACAAAGATGTGTGGCAGCAGAAACACAGCTGTGTCTGAGAGGTTAGGAGATCATTAATGTGTTACTGCATTCAATTATTGCATTTAATTATTTCCATAATGGCTGTCCCTCATCACTGGGTGCTGTTTCCAGTCATTTCCTTGAATATTCCTGCCTGGAAGGGAGGGATGAGGGATTGAGTGGGGAGCAGTGATGTTTGCACATCTCTGACACTCCCTTTTGTACAAAACACCCAAATGGAAAACCAGCCCCTCACCTCCCACTCCTAAAGGGGTCTGAGGGATTTCCAGAGCTGTTCTCCATCCCCTCACAGGATAAAGTGCAAACTCTGCCTGTCCTGGAAGCTCCAAATCCCTGTGGTTTGCTCTCATTTCAGGTGTGCAGCCGTGGGGAGTGTGTCCAGGCTGAGGACGTCTTCAGATCCACCAACTGCTCTGCCAAGTGCCCTGGCCATGCTGTAAGACACCAGCATTTGATGTTATTCACTTTAAAACCACAAGAAAATGATGCAGATCAGGCTCAGACCTCCTTGCTGACAGTGTTTAAGTCATTGATGCAAATCTGTCAAATTTGAGGAGTCAGAAACTTCAAAAATTTTTATGAAAACACATCTCACCTGAGGGAACATCAATATTTTTCCCAGGAGATGGACACAGCCCCTGTGTCTGACCCTGCCCCTGAGCCATGGTATCACAGCTCTCCTCTTTTAGGTTATTTTGGTTTGGGGAGGAGAATTCTGCTCACATTTGACCATTCAGAGACCTACAGATAAATAGATTAACTCTGTAGTGAAGCTTTACCTGCAGAAGCAAAAGGTGCATGACATCAGGACTGTCCTTTAACACCCCAAACTGCTCATTTTTGTGCTAAATTTTAGCTCAGATAAGTGAAGAGATTAAAAAAACCTCTCATCATCCTCACTCAGAAACTTTCTGAGCCTCCAGACTCACTGGTGTCCCTGTTTGTGCCCCCAGGTGTGTGACCACGAGCTGCAGTGCCAGTGTGAGGAGGGGTGGGCACCCCCCAACTGTGACAGCTCCTCAGCCCTCACCAGTGAGTGCCACACCTTGGAATGTGTCCTTTCCTGCCTGCAAGGGATCCCTGAGCATTTCAGCTTTTCAATTTTCCATCTCTCTGTAATCCTGCAGTTCTTTAATGTATAATTCTAAACTCCATGTTAGTGTGAGCTGCTGCTCTCCCATTCTGGGCAGACACAACAATTCCTCTCCAAGATTTCAGCTTTTCTATTTTCCATCTATCTGTAATCCTGAATTTCTTTAATGTATAACTCTGAGCTCCACATCCAGTGTGAGCTGCTACTCTCTCATTTTGGGCAGACACAACAATTCCTCTCCAGTATTTTAGCTTTTACATTTTCATCTATTTGTAATCCTGCAGTTCTTTAGTGCACAGCTCTGAACTCCATATTAATGTAAGCTGCTGCTCTTCCATTTGGGGAAGACCAAACAATTCCTCTCCAGGCCTGGCAACCAAGGACACCTCACTGCCTCAGGGCTCAGAGATGGGAACAAAAGGGAGCTGGGGGAGCAAACTTGGGGTCAATGACTTCATTACCTGAACCTGTAATTGGAAGATCAACCCCAATAGGCAAATAGGTCAAATTTATAAAAGTGTGGAACCCATGAGCAATCATCCATTTTGGGGGTTCAAAACCAGCCTGGATGTGGCACTGGGTGCCAGGGTTGAGTTGAGGCGCTGGGGCTGGGTTGGACTCGATGATCTTTAAGGTCTCTTCCTACCCAGTGATTCTGGGAATTCTGGGAATCTGCCCCAAAAGGCACCAGAAGGAGCTGGGGAGCTCCAGGGGAACAGCCCAGCACCAGAGTGGCTCATACAATTGTTAATTGGAATAATTAAGCTCATCAAGCCCAGCAGCACTGAATCATGTCCTCAGGCACAGGTTTGAACAATTCCAGGGCTGGGAGCTCCAGCCTGTTCCAGAGCTGGGCAACCCCTTCCATGAAGAAATTTCATATCCAACCTAGAACCCAGCACTGTACCCAGGGAGCTGATTTCTGAGCACCCCTCAGCCCTGCAGGGAGGAGCAGAGGAGGTGTTTTCCTCTCTAAGCTGATGAGGGATTCCCCCTGGAGATGACACCAACAGGCTCCTCCTGTTTATTCTCAGAATAACGAGTTCTCTGTCCCTTCAAAGTGGAGCCAGGATCCCAGAGGCTTTGCTGTGAGGGAGCTGGACAAGTTCATTTATCATCTGCATGGTCCTTAACTGATCCATCTCTGAGGGAAAATTATTTGTGTCCAGATTTTCATGTGTTAGGGGGGAAAAAAAGCCTTTATTTAATTTATAATATGGAATATTTTTGTCCTCTCCTCACCCTCTCCAGAGCACTGTTAGCCCTGAACCTCTGGCTTGGTTGAGGCTTTGGAGTAGTTTTGTTGAAAATTGTGGAAGAAACTTTGTTTGAGGGCAGTTTGAAGGTGTGCACCCTTCTGTGGGTAACAGCCTCTGGGGCAGAGGAGAGGAAGGACAGGGGAGGATCTTTGAGTGTCAATGGAAAGGGCAGGGATGGTTTAGGGTTTGTTCAGGGTTTGTTTAGCCCAAGGACAGCTCAGGGAACAACTGACTTCAAACATGGCAAAACCAGCAGGAGTTCACCCCTTTCCATCACCATTTGTGGCAGGAGAAGAACCTATAGAATGAAAACAGAGATAATAAAATTCCTTCATCAGTGGTGATGGGAAACTTCTTAATAATGGTGAATCTTGCTGGGTGTCTCCCACCCTCAGTGATTCTGGGATGTTCAAAGAACTGTTTGTGTCCCTGCTGATGTTTAGGAACTGTTTCTGTCCTAACGCTCAGTGATCCCTGATGTTTCAGAACTGTTTCTGTCCCTGCCCTCAGTGATCCCTGGTGTTTGATTCTTTCCCTCCCTGCCCTCAGTGATTCCTGGTGTTTTAGGATTCTTTCCCTCCCTGCCCTCAGTGATCCCTGGTGTTCAGGAACTGTTTCTGTCCCTGCTGATGTTTAGGAACTGTTTCTGTCCATGCCCTCAGTGATTCCCTGATGTTTAGGAACTCTTTCCCTCCCTGCCCTCAGTGATCCCTGGTGTTTGATTCTTTCTGTCCCTGCCCTCAGTGATCCCTGGTGTTTTAGGATTCTTTCCCTCCTTGCCCTCAGTGATCCCTGGTGTTCAGGAGCTGTTTCTGTCCCTGCCCTCAGTGATCCCTGATGTTTAAGGGCTGTTTCTGTCCCTGGCAGGCATTGCTGTGGCTGCTGGCGTGCTGGCTGTCCTGGCTGTCACTGCAGTTGCAGCCGTGCTGCTCACCCGCTTCCGAGGCTCCCACAAGAGGTAAATCCTTCCCACATCCACCTAAAACCCACAAACCACAGCCAGGAAATCCCTGCAGAGCTTGCACGGGGGATGGGGGGAATTAGACCCTGGAAGGGAAGGAAGATGGTCCATGAGATTTGTGGAGGCATCAGAAATCCCATGGCTGGGAGGGGATGGAAGCGTTGAAATGGAGCTCTTGATAAATCCTTAATAATCCCAATGAATAAAGGGAAGAAAGAAATCAAGGACATGGGTACAAAACACCAGCAGGAGTAAGGCAGGGCCTCAGCTGTGAGGTTCTTTCTTCAATTAACTAAAATTGAGCATGACTTGAAATCTTTGACAGCCACCAGAGCAGGAGGGGACCCGGAGCCACCAACCAGGTGTTTGTGGATCAGGAGCAGAGCTGCAGGGAACAGCCTGTGCTGGTGCCACCTGCCCAGAAGGTGAGAGCAGGGACAGCTGGGGACTGTCCCCAGGGCTCCAACCATCAGCCCAAGGGACTGCATTTCCATGGGATTCCCAAAATGCTGAGGGGACAGTGCTGGGAATGCCAGCACAAGATTCCCAAAATGCTGAGGGGAGGAATCCCAGCATGAGATTCTCAAAATACTGAGGGGACAGTGCTGGGGATCCCAGCATGAGATTCCCAAAATGCTGAGGGGACAAGGCTGGGGATCCCAGCATGAGATTCCCAAAATACTGAGGGGAGTAATACCAGCATGAGATTCCCAAAATGCTGAGGGGACAGCGGTGGGGATCCCAGCACAAGATAACAAAAATTATGAGGGGACGGTGCTGGGAATGCCAGCACAAGATTCCCAAAATGCTGAGGGGAGGAATTCCAGCACGAATTCCCAAAATGCTGAGGGGAGGGACAGTGCTGGGAATGCCAGCATGAGATTCCCAGAATTAAGATGGGAGTAATCCCAGCATGAGATTCCCAAAACACTGAGGGGAGGGACAGTGCTGGGAATACTGGCACAAGATTCCCAAAATGCTGATGGGTGGAACAGTGCTGGGAATCCCAGCACGAGATTCCCAAAATTATGAGGGGAGGAATCCCAGTATGAGATTCTCAAAATGCTGAGTAAGGAACAGTGCTGGGAATGCCGGCACAAGATGCCCAAAATTATGAGGGGACAGTGCTGAGAATCTCAGCACAAGATCCCCAAAATTATGAGGGGAGGAGTACCAGCATGAGATTCCCAAAATGCTGAGGGGAAGAATTCCAGCACGAATTCCCAAAAATGCTGAGGGGAGGGACAGCGCTGGGAATGCCGGCACGGGGCGGGCTCTGGGTCCCCAGTGAGCCGGGGCAGGGCAGGGACAGCCGGAGATAAGGGGAGATAAAGCAGGAGATAACGCTGGAGGTGAGATAAGGGCTCCGCCCCATTTGTGACCGTTCCCGTCCGCAGGTAATTGATAAGAAAGTTCTTCCCGTGCCTCCACCTCAGGAGAACAAACCGCACCTTCAGAGTGTGAGTATTTCTGGGAATGTCCCTGCTTTCCTGCGGGGTTTGGGAACATCACAAACCCCTGGAGACCCCTGGGGACAATCTGATCCCAAAGGGACATCCCTGAGCTCCAGAGGGGCTCTGTTTTCTCAGTCACCATCCCTGCACCCCCAGCCCCTTAAAGCATTTTCTATCCAGCTCCAGGCTGCACATCCCAAGGAACACGTGGATGCAATGCACACACAGAGGGTTAAATGGTTCATGTTCTGTTTTTTCCAGCCTGCCCTGAGGCCCAAGGGTCCCCCACCTCCCGTTCCTGCCCCCAAACCTGGCTCTTCCCACCCCGAGGAGAAGTTTGTGAGTACAACCCTGCAGCTTCACACATCCCTATCAGATCCCAATTCATATTTGCAGCTTCTGATTTAAAGTGAAAATTTAAAATCACAGTTATTCAAAGCACAGGTTTTTAGGGTAGGAATCAGTTTTTGGCCGTGTAATCCTAAACTGCACAAATATCCCTCATCAGCCAGGGGGTCCTCCAAGGCATCAGAAGCAAACTCAGTAGCTGGAGTTTGACCCAAGAGGCATTTCATGTGTAAACACAAAGTGAATGATGAGTAACTCTGCTGCTGCAGGTGCCTTGAGGGTCCCTGTGTGGCAGAGATGTGCTGGGTCTTACATTTGTGAGAACTCAGAGGAATAGTTCTATTTCTCATTAATAAACCCAAAGCATCCTAATAAAAGGAAATACCTGCCTCAAATGTTCACCATGTCAGCATCTGAGGCCCCTGCCCCCCTGGCAGGAGGGTGTAAAATCCATCTTCATTCTGGTCCCACAACTCTGGGGTGCTTCCTGCACAAACACTGGTCAGGACAACATAAAATGTAAAATATAAAATATAAGATATAAAATATACCCATGTATCAGTTATAAACCACATTTAAATCCCACTCTGTGAGCTTAGATATTGATATTTAAATATTGGGAACAGCTCAGTGTCTTCTGAAACAGACCTGGCCCCCTTGTATTTGCATTTTGTTGCCCCCTTGCACAAGGACAGGTGGGAATTCCTGGGATTTTGCAGCAGGAAAATGCTGCAGGGTGAGGGTGGCTGGGGCTGGGGAGGTTCTGCAGCTGCTCAGAGAACCCAGTGACATTGAAACCCCATTTTGTTCCAGGCCCCAGAGAGAACAGCTCCTCCTGTGCCCCTTCCCAAAGGCAAACCCCCTCCTCCACCCCAGGTAATTCAGGGGGGAATAACAATTCCCTGGGGATGGAATTCCCATCAGCTCCCTGGGGATGGAATTCCCATCCATTCTCTGGGGATGGAATTCCCATCAGTTCTCTGGAGATGGAATTCCCAACAGTTCCCTGGAGATGGAATTCCTATCAGCTCCCTGGAGATGGAATTCCCATCCATTCCCTGGGGATGGAATTCTCATCAGCTCCCTGGAGATGGAATTCCCATCCATTCTCTGGGGATGGAATTCCCATCAGCTCCCTGGGGATGGAATTCCCATCCATTCTCTAGGGATGGAATTCCCATCAGTGCCCTGAGGATGGAATTCCCATCAGCTCCCTGGGGATGGAATTCCCATCCATTCCCTGGGGCTGGAATTCCCATCCATTCCCTGGGGATGGAATTCCCATCCATTCCCTGGGGATGGAATTCCCATCCATTCTCTAGGGATGGAATTCCCATCAGTGCCCTGAGGATGGAATTCCCATGAGTTCCCTAAGAATGGAATTCCCATCAGTGCCCTGGGGATGGAATTCCCATCAGTGCCCTGGGGATGGAATTCCCATCAATTCCCTGGGGATGGAATTCCCATCAATTCCCTGGAGATGGAATTCCCATCCATTCTCTGGGGATGGAATTCCCATCAGCTCCCTGGGGATGGAATTCCCATCCGTGCCCTGCAGATGGAATTCCCATCAGTGCCCTGGGGATGGAATTCCCATCAGTGCCCTGGGGATGGAATTCCCATCCATTCCCTGGGGATGGAATTTCCATCAGTTCCCTGGGGATGGAATTCCCATCAGTTCCCTGAGGATGGAATTCCCAACAGTTCCCTGGGGATGGAATTCCCATCAGTTCCCTGGAGACAGAATTCCTTCACTGCTGGGATTTAACTGCTGCTTCTCCCTGCAGGCTTTAAAGCCCCCCATGAACCCCAGAGTCTGAGGCTTCCCAAGCAGAGCTGGCTGGGCCACCTGAACTTTGCAGGGACAGTTCATCCCTCGATTCCTCCACTTCTGGCAAAGGTGTCCTGGACCATCTCCCTCTCCTCCTCGAGAACTGACTGAGAGCTGCCTGGGGAGATTCGGGATTTCAGGCAGTGAGGAGCCCCGGTGGTGACATGGAGCTGCTGTCCAAGGGAAGCAGAGCAGAGCCACCACTTGCACCGAGGTGTAAACTGGGAGTAAGTTACAACAGCTGCTGAACACCCCCAGCACTGTGGGATGAGGCTGCTCCTCCTCTGCTCCTCTGGGGCCAGAGCTGAGGGAGCAGGGACAGTGTGGCTGCTCCAGGTTTGGGAATTGCAAACTGGTTTTTTTGCTCCATTTCTGGATCTTTTCCAGCCCTCTCTGCTCTCAGCAATACAAAGATTTCTCCCTCAAGTGCAAGTCATGGAGAAAAACAAACTCTCCCTGCCCTGAGGAGAGAAGTTGTGTCCCCAGGGTCTGAGCTGGACATGGAATAAGCAATGAGACACACTGGGAATGGTTCTGGCAAGATCCTTTGCACTGGATTCTCTCCACAGTCCTTAAATTCCCTGCAAAACATGGATGTGATGGAATTTCAGTTCTTCCTTTGAGGTTGTGTTGGATGAGGATGGATGTTACTGGAAGAGCAGAGCTTCCTTCCTCTTTGGATAATTGCTGCTTTATTTGAGCCAGGAACAGATTGGAATCTCCACCTGGGTTTGACTGGGGTGTAAAAATCCAGAAGTTATTTTTTATGAGCTGTAATTAATGTATTTACAGAGATTTCTGTATTAAAGTTCTGTCTGAACAGGAAGCAATTGTTGTGTTCTTTCAAGCCCATCATGAAGCACAGGAAAACCAGGGTAAAGTGGGGTCATTTCTGACATTGCCAGAGCCCTAAAACTCCCAATTTGCAGCAAAAAGATCATTCCCAAGTGTTGTCAGCCCTGCCAAGTCAGCCAGGAAAGCTGAATTCCATTTATAATGAGGCTTGACAGGATATTCCAACACAGCTTTTCTGCCACCTTCAAATCTGTTTCTTCCTGATTTCCAAGCTTTGGGAGTACTCCAGGATTTTCCAAGAATTGTGAGATTTGAAGCAAATCTAGAGATTTTTTTTTTTCTTAATAACCTTCTGAGATTCAGCTCCAAACCTGGAGCCTGGGCTGCCTTTTCCTGCAGAAAACCAAATCCTCACCTGCTCATACCTGAACTCCTCCATTCCCAGCCCTGAGCAGAGGGTGAGCCCTGGACTGGGATCAAAAATCCTCCTTCAGAGTGGCCGGGAGTAGAAACTTCATAAAAATATTCTATTTCTCTGTAATTTATATATAAATTTATATCTGATTTATTCCACCCAGAGCAGGTTCTGATTCCCAGCCCCTCCTGCCCCGGGACGCCCGTGGTTACTCTGTGTGTAGCTACAACCTCTCGTTGTGTTGTACAAATGTGACATCTGCTGCTCAAAAGGCTCCACTGCAGGAGGAACAAATCCCCAAATCACCTGGAATTTGCTGGCCAGGAGCCGTGGGCTGCACCTTTCCCTGCTCTCAGCCCCCAAAAAAGCCATTTATTGACAGGTTTTTTTGGTTTGAGTGAATATTCCACTCTCCTCCTCCTCCCTCATTCCATAGGAAAACAAAAATGTCTTTTTCCCTGTTTCTTTTCAACCTCTGAATTCACAGAATCCCAGAATCCTGGAATGGTTTGGGCTGGAAGGGCCCTGAAGGATCCAATTCCAGCCCCAACAGCTCCCACTATCCCAGGGTGCTCCAAGCCCTGTCCAGCCTGGCCTCGGGCACTGCCAGGGATGGGGAATCCACAGCATCTCTGGGATAACCCAATTTTCCAATTTCCCACCCTCCTTCACCCCACTTTTCCTCCATCTGCAGTGACTCCGCTGCCAGGGCTGGCCAAACCTTTCCACAATGGATTTTCCCCTAAAAAACTGGCACAATGGCACAATTTGGGGCCGTTTCCATGGTGCTGCAGCTCGTGAGAAGAGGAGCCTCAGCGGACCCCAGCTCATCCCCATCAGCCCAGCCCGGGATTGCTGCACTTTGAATTTTTCATGCTGCAATCAGCTGGTGCTGCAGGCACGCACGGATGGAAGAGAATGCTGAAATATTCATGACCCACTGCAGAGCACAACAGCAAGAGAGCTGCAAATGAGGACAGGCAACCTCAGGCAGCCCCGTGGAGTCACTGCCCCTTTTCTGGCCAAAATTCAGGTGGGTTAAAATGAAGGAAAACAGCCAGAATCCAGGTCTGGGGTGTCCGGAGGTTGGGTTTAGGCCACATCAGGAGCCTGGGTGAGCCGAACCTTCCAGGATGTCACTGGAGCTTCTGGGCCACGATTTGTCCTGGATGAGCATCCCTGGGCCAAATTCCTGAATTTCCTTCCTGTGGGTCTGGGCAGGACAAAGCCCAGGGGGAAAGGGCAGGGAGGGGATTTAAAGGTGCATTTATCACCAAATCTCAGCATCCATCCAGACAACCTAAAGCAGCAGCCAGACTTGCCTCCCTCACTGATGAAACCTGACTCCAATCTCTTTAAATTCAGCCTGAGTGGGGACAGAAATGAGCAGAGCTCCGATTCTCACCAACACCACGGGTTTGGTTTCCCTGGAATGATCACATTTCCCACCTATTCCTTATTCATGTCCCATTTCCTTGCCTTAAAAGCCGCCCTGACCCGGGTTTGGAGTGGTTTCCTTAATCACTGCCATCATTAGAGACGCTGCAATCAGAGGAGTGGGGGCTCCTCATCACTAATTTAAAACGAGATGTTTGTGAAAGACATTCCAAATTATGTCCAAGTGGAAAAGAGAGGGAAGGAAAAAAACCCAACACTTCCACATCTCCATCTCCTGCCCATCTGCAGAGCCCCCCACAGCACAGAGGAGGAGAAGAGAAGCTTCAATATTGGTTTAAAAAATTCATGGGCCTCTCTCCACCTGAAATAAACCTGTGAGGAAGCTGCTCTGGGCTGGGGAAGGAGGGAATTTCTGGCCACTGCTGAGGTTCTGCCTGGTGCTGTTGCTCTTAGTCCTTCTAAGCNGGGGACTTATTTTTTAAGGGTTTTTCATGGATTTTGTCCCCAGGAGACAAAGCCCTTGACATCTTTAGTCTTTTACCTCCTCTCTTTGCTTGTTCTTAAAAACTGTCAGGTTCCCTTCCCTTTGGGGGCAATTTCTCTTGAAGTGTCCATTTTTATTACAATAAAACCAAATTTGTCCTTTTCTAATGGCAGTTAACATCACTCTGGCCTTTTCCTTTGCTTTCTCTTCACCCCTCCTGGTGTATACTTCCTGTGCTTCTCTTAAGAAATCCCCCAATCCCCTTTCTTGCCAATTGTCTCATTTCTCCAATTTTCTCTGTATGTCAAACCACACCTGGGTGACAAAATATGTTTTTAGTAAGATTTGTCTGACTGCTGTTTCAGGGCTAATACCTGAATATTGCCTCATATTTATCCTCAATCTTTCTTGAGTATTGCCTCATATTTTCCCTCAGTCTTTCTTGAATATTGACTCAAATTTTCCCTCAATCTTTCCAGCCCCTCTGTTGGGGTTTCCTCCCTCTTTTGTTGTTCATTAAATGGATTCTGAGGATTTTGGCCCTTTTTGCCGTGCACATTCCGTGCTGGCCGTTAGAGGGCAATGGGATGTGGGGAAGGAGGAGCTGGGGGATCAATTCTGCCCTGCCAGCACCTCCTGCCCTTGGGCTGCGTCCAGGGAACGTTGGATCTGCAGACACGGAGGCACCAGACAGGGAACGAACCGATCCCAGCCCTCCAAACGTGACTCCAGGCCCGGCTCAGAGCTCCCCACAGCCAGAGCCAGCTCTAACTGAGTCAGGTTTAACCCAAGCCTTTTCCTAGCAGCCCTTGTCCAGGTGAATAATTCATGTAGTAGCAACGTGAAATTAAGGATTTTGCTTCCCTGTGCCAGCAGATTTTCTGCAGCCTTGCAGCAATGCATAAATCATCACCTTCTGCACAAAGGAGGAGATAAAAGGCAGCAGGATGAGCCCACTGATGTGAAAACTCACGGGGAAAATTCAAAAATTCACAGGGAAGGTTTTTTCCCTGAACTCACACCTTGCTGGTTGTCTGCCACCAAACTGGGCTTCATGGTCCCCCAAAAATGCTGCCAAAAAATGGTTCCAACCATGCCAGCCTGTGCTGGTAACATCAGTAATAATATCAGTAGTAATAATAATATCAGTAATAATAATGTCAGTTACAGTAATATCAGTAACCAGGGAATCATGGAATATCCTGGGCTGGAAAGGACCCCCAGGATCATCAAGCAGCTCCTGGCCCAACAGAGACACCCCAAGAACCCGCCCTGTGCTGAAATGTGAACCTCAGCCACTTCAATTTCTTTAATAACGGCTGAGAAGTGCCATTAATCATCCCTTTAATGACAATTTCCTCAGTATGGCACTGCTGGATGCTTCAGCCTCCTCTGGGGCTGAGCACACAGGAGGCCCCAGCGTTCCTCCAGGCCCTGCGTCCCTCCAAAGCCACCCTCAGGAAAGTGGCAGAGATTAACAGGCTGCTCCTGACACGAGATCCATAAATAATTCCACAAAAAGCGTGGCCCCGGCCTTTAGAAGGTCTCAGGGCAAAATAGTAGAGGCTGAAATATTGATGGATGTGTCTGCAGGAGCCATTAGGGAAGGGAAAGTGGTTCCATGGGGCTGGGCTGAGCCAAGGCACCGGGAGGACAAAACACATCTGAGAGCCCAGCCCCAGGTAACAGGAGAAATTACAAACCGCACACAATTTCAGCAGGAATTTAGAAATGGAATTAAAAAGCTGCTCCTCCATCAGGGAAAGAGGTGCTGGGGAAGCCTGGAGGAGATTTCCAGCCAGAACACGTGAGGACAGAGCTCAGGTGCCTGCTTGGGGCTGCAGCCACACAGAACACCCCTGTTACAGCTGTTCTTACACGGAGACAGGGATGAGCTGCTCCACATCAGGGTCTATTTTTGCCTGTCCTGGAGTGCTCTGCAGTAATGTGCTTTCCATGTTCCATTTTGCAGCCGTCACGGAGAGGAAAATCCCAGGATCCCAGCGGTGGGAAAGGCATGGTAAAGAGCTGCTGAGAATTCCTGAACGTGCTCCTCAATTAGGTCACCCCAAAAACCCCTCCTGCCCAGCTCCAGAGCGTGATGGGGCTCAGAGCACGAGGTGATTTAACAGAGAATGAAAAACCCCGTGGTGGGGTCTCCCAGAGAAGTACTGGGACAGGGCATGATCCCCTTTGGGACACGATTTCCATTGGGACACCATTCCCTTTGGGACACGATGATCCCCTTCAGGAATTCACACCCTTCAGGACACAATACCCATCAGGATACCATTCCCTTCAGGACACAATGCCCTTTGGGACAATTCCCTTCAGGACACCATTCCCTTTGGGACACAATTCCCTTCAGGGCATAATTCCCTCCAGGACACAATTCACACCCTTTGGGACACAATTCCCATCAGGACACAATTCCCTTCATGACATGATCCCCTCCAGGACACAATTCCCATCAGGACACAATTCATGCTCTTCAGGACACGATTCACACCCTTCAGGACACTATTCCCTTCAGGACATGATTCCCTCCAGGACACAATTCCCTTTGGGACACAATTCCCTTCAGGACACAATTCCCTTCAGGACATGATTCCCTCCAGGACACAATTCACACCCTTTAGGACACAATTCCCTTCAGGACATGATTCCATTCAGGATACAATTCCCTTTGGGACACAATTTCCTTTAGGACACAATTCCCTTCAGGGCACAAT